GAAGCCCGGTTTTTAGCTTTCGCAGGCCGGCAGTTTTTCAAGCCGGGCGACTTTGGGCCTGGCAAGGGCCGTGGCTCTAGTGGGGGCCGAGACCGGTCCAAGGGCTATGGGCGACCCAAAGGAGAGGGCAAGGGCAAAGGTGACAGCCGCCGCGTCCACATCGAGCAGCTGAAGTTGAGGACGCGCTGCCGCAATTGCGGGCAGGTGGGACACTGGTCCCGAGAATGCAAGGCCCCACCTTCGGCATCCTCTCATGTTTCGCGCGGGCCCTCTTCAATAGCTACCGGTTCGGCGGCCACAGGGTCACAGCGCTCAGGCACAGCCGACCACTAGGGCCTCGTGGACACCGCAGCACAGGAGGGCCTCATAGGACGCAGCGCTCTACTAAGACTCCTTTCGGTACTTCGCAAACACAATCTGCGTGCACATTTGACCGATAAAGAAGCAAGTGCTCGAGGCATCGGAGGCAGTGCTCGTACAGTCGGAGTTTGTGAACTTCCTGTTGGTGTTGCGGGGGTTGCGGGGGTCTTGGAAACCACTGTGGTCGCAGATGATGTTCCCTTGCTGTTGCCGGTGTCTTTGTTGAAGGCTTTGGGGGCCATCGTGAATATGCCCGAGGCTAAGCTACAGCTCACGGCGGTTAATGCAGAGTGCCCTATGGTTTCTATGGCTTCGGGGCATCTGGCTGTTTCGGTTGTCGACTTTGGGCCGCAGGGCTGGAGCCTTCCTTCCGGATGCGAGAAAGCGGGCCCCAGCAGCAATTCGGCTTCCACTCGATGTGTGCGCCCCCGACTTCCTGCTTACCTTGCACAGCATGCTGGCTTCCCGCGCTCTTCAGGCAGAGGCTCGCCCGCCGCCAGAGCCCCGAAGGCGAGTCCACGATCGCGCCCGGCTGGCTTTGCGAAACTGGCGGGTCATCTTGGACAAGTTGTTCTCAGTTATGCTTTGGGGACGGTGGCGTACGGCGGTGTCGGACTGGATGCCGGCCCCTTTGCCGGCGGCTTCGAGCCGAGCTTCGGGGACTTCCTGCGAGGCCGTGGCCTTGGCTCCGACCAGCAAGAGCAAGCTCTACCGCGACTATCTCAACGGGGCCCCAAGAAGCTGACGAAGATCAAGGGCATACCGGCTGTGGAGCCGGAGGCATGCCAACACGAGGCACGTTTCCTGAAAGGAGGAGGGATTGGTCACCAAAATTGGATTCACTGTTCTCAGTGCCTGGAGCGTTGGCTTCTCAGCCCTCGGACCGCCTCTCTGGCGACAGGGCATGCGGTGGAGGAGGTGCCCAAGGCCAAGGCCAAGATGAGAGCTCCGAGGCCGGCGGCAGTTCAGGACCGCGATCAAGACGACAGCCGCCGCAGTGGCAGCCCGAAGCGCAGCCAAGGGAGCATGGAAAACAGCGATTGGCAAATGCTGAGCGAGAGCGACTATATCAAGGCGATGGCCGACCAGCAGGAGAAGATGGAACAGATGCAAGCCCAGCTCGACCTGCTGTCGGGCCAGTCGCTGGAGTTCAAGCTGGCAGAGGACGCGTGTGCTTCGTTGGAGTTGGCGCTGCCGAACATGGAGGGCAGCGTAAGGGCCACCACCCAGCAGTTGACGACGGAGTTTCCGCAGGCTGCAACAGGTCGAGTCGGAGACCCGTTTCAAGAGCAACCACTTCCCGACACGGGACACTCGTGGGTGCAGGCGGCACAGAACTGCAAGAGGGGAGCCGAGCAGATCATGGCATTCTACCAGGACAGCCTGGCACAACGCTCTCAGCTGGCGGCTCGGCTCACTCGGGGTGCCTATGGGCACCGGGCCTTGGATGGAACTTGGTGCTGAAGAGGTCTTCGCCGGCTTCCTTTGGAAGGTGGCTGGCTGGCTCTTCCCCTGGGCTCTCGGACTTTGTCGTGTTGCGAAGCGGTCAAGGGCTTGTGAGAAGGGATCGGTGCGATTACACTGCGCTCGGGGAAGTGTACTCCCCAGAGATCTTCCACGTGGTGTGCGAGCCCGACCTCTACCTGCATGGCTCGGTCGACGACAGCTTGGAGGTGGACCTCTCGGCCTACCGCGGCTGGGCGGCACGGCTTCACGAAGGCGAGCCGGGGCAAGACGTGCTGTTGGGCACGGGTGGCCCCGAGATCGAGGCACCCTCGTCGAGCAGACCATGTGTGTCGTCTTGCCCGGGCCCAGTGGGCAAGAGGAGGAATATTCGTGATGGCTGCGCCCGAGCAGCCGAAGGGGCACCAGAGTTGGGGTCGCCTCCGAGCCCAGGTGTTGGGAAGCTCGGCGGCGCAGCGCCTTTTTCGCAATCACTGTTTGGTCACCAATGTGGCAGATCCTTGCCGATATCAAGCAGCGAGCCGCTCAGACCACAACGTCTTCTATGAGGCCGTCCCGGAGGAGAACCCGGAAAGGATTCCCGAGACGGTCGCGACCAACACCTTTGCCATAGACCTCGACAACCTCGAGGCGATTGAGAGGGGAGAAGAAGAAGCTGAGGCGCAGGATGGCGCCGGGGCAGAAGATGTGACTACTGCGCCCCCGGTGCAGGAACCAAGCAAGCAGGAGAAAGAAGCGGTGGAGAAACTTCATCGCAATTTCGGCCATCCTAGCAACGCTTCCCTGGCAAGAACGCTGAAGGTCAGCGGGGCAGCAGAGCACATTTGGCGCTGGGCGAAATCAGGGTTCCGATGTCCGGCATGCAGCTCTGGAGTTTTGCCAAAGCCGGCCCGGCCGGCCACCATTCCGAAGAGCTTTGCGCCAAATGTGATGATCGCGATCGACCTCTTCGAGCTCCCGGCTTGGAACGGCGAGGGCACCGATCGCTATCTCAATGCCATCTGCCTCGGAACCAATTTTCAGCTTGTGGAAAAAGTTCGCAGCAAACAACCCGGAGCTATTTGGGCGGCCTTGGCTCGTGGATGGGCCAGGGTGCTGGGGTTTCCTCAGATTATCCTTCTGGACCAGGGAACCGAGTTTTTGGGCGAATTTCGCCAAAACGCTCACGATATGGCGGTGCTGGTACACACTATAGGAGCCAGGGCGCCGTACCAAAACGGCAGATGCGAAAGGCACGGAGCTCTGTTTAAGACGATGATGCAGAAAGCTCTCTGGTCGTGCCCGCCCACATCGTCTGAAGACTTCAAACTCCTGCTTCGTGAAGTCGAAAGTGCCAAAAATCGCCTCTCAGATCGCTCTGGTTTCTCACCAGCACAGCGTATGCTAGGCGAGACTCCAAGGACCACGGGCGAACTCCTAGCCGATGAGATGGTCGATGTGGTCCTCAAGAGCGTCTCTGGCGAAATGGAAAAGCGGCTGCAGGCCAAGCGTGCTGCACAAAAGGCGTTCGCAGAGGTGAACACTTCGCAGGCAGTTCGCAAGGCTATGCGGGCCCGAGCCAGGACGCAGCGCACCTTCCGGCCCGGGGACATCATTTTCGTCTGGCGCTCGTGGAAGGCACAGGGCGTTAAGAAGCAAGCGTGGGTCGGACCCGGTGTGGTGGTGCTCCCCGACGGCCCGAACGCCTATGTGAACGTCAAGGGCAGGCTCTGGCGCGTCGCCAACGAGCACCTCCGAGAGGGTACTTCGGAAGAAATGCGAGGCATTAGGCGGTGCACCAGGTCTTTGACGAGCTCAAGGAACGCTTCAAAAGGCCTGGCCGTGAACTTGGACCTCACGCAGGAGCCGCTGCCACCTTATGGGCAACAAGAGAACTTCGGGGACCCAGTTCGTGCCGAAGGGGAAGCTCGAGGACTACCGTTGCAGAGGTGGCTGTTCCACTGGATAGTTCCAGAAGTGCCGCTGCCAGTTCCGATGGAGGAGCTGCCCAGACACCTCGCAAGCCACGGCGGAAGAGCCCGAGGTGGAGCGCACCGACAGCGGCCAGACGCCCGACCTGGAGGCACGGGTCAGCCAAGCTCAGGAAGCAGTGCAACTGGGCCGGCAAATGGACGGCATCCCTTATGGTGCTGTTCGGCCTTCTTCCTCGTCTCGGCCGGCGCCTGCAGCTCCCTTTGTGACCGAGCGAGAGGCGGATGAATGGTTCGAGGAAGTGGACGTGCAGATCCCGGACAGACCGCAGCAACCGGCGGCAAGCGACCGTTGGCAGCTGCTGGCGGACCAAGGAATAGTCCGGAGACACCACTTGAAGTGGAGAACGTGCCACTTCTCTCCTTGGGAAGCTCCTCGAGTGCCGGTACCGCTTCGCTTTCTCAACTCGGAGCGGCAGACTGTCCGGGTGTTCAAGACCGGGACGACCGACGACACCCACGACGACTGGAAGGAGCTGAAGCCAAACAAGAGAAGCTCGGGGAAGTGGAAAGGATATACCGACTTCTACCTGACCAAGGAGGCGTGCAAAGAAGTGCGTGCGAGACCGGAGAAGTACGATGCCGAGGTGAAGGCCCGGGAGTTTGTGTTCCACACCGAGTCGGCGATCTTCGCGGCCAAGAAGAGCACCGACGAGATCAGCGAGAAAGACATTCCTGCCGAAGAGTGGCCCGAGTGGCGAGTTGAGGACGCAAAGGAGTGGGCGAAGATCGAAGCCTCAGGGGCAGTGAGAGTTTTGTCTGTGGAAGAAAGCCGCAAGGTGATTGAATCCCTCACCTTGGAAGGCAAGCTGAACAGAGTCATCGACAGCCGTTATGTGAGACGGCTCAAGCCCGGAGAGCAGGTCGGGGAAAAGCCCACGAAGAAATCTCGCTGGTGCGTTCGGGGAGACCAAGACCCAGACGCCGTCAGCCGCAACACGTACAGCCCGACCGTCACTACGAAAATTTGCAGGTGATCTTACAGTGTGCCGCGACGTGGAAAATGCCAGGTTCTTGCGACGACTTACAAGCCGCATTCATGCAATCAGCACCGTTGGTGCGCGCTGGTGGCAAGCTCTACGTGAGGCAACCAAGAAGCGGCTTGCCAGGACTGCTTCCAGAGCAGTTGGTGGAGGTGGTTTGTGGCGTCTATGGTTTGGTCGATGGGCCAGTTCATTGGCGCCAAACCTTGAAGAAGTTCATTATTGAGGAACTTCACTACCGCCAAAGCAAGCTAGACCCCACGGTGTTCCTGTTGAGCCACGAGGGCAAGCTTGAAGGGATCATCGTCATCGAAATAGACGACGTGTTGGCCTTCGGTTACGAGCTTCACGATGCAGCTTTGGTGCGCTTGCGGCAAAAGTTCAAGTTCGGCAAGTTCAAGAAACTTCAAGAGCTCACCGACGGCACTACCTTCAACGGGCGCAGAATTCGGCAGACAGCCGATTTTCAACTCCTGGTGGATATGGAGAAGTACGTTCAAGAGAGGCTCTTTCCCATGAAGCTGGAGAAGGGTCGAAGGAGTCAGCCCGACGCAGAAGCGACGCCAGAGGAGCGCCAGAAGGCCCGTGCAGTGATAGGGGCGTTGGCTTGGGCAGCGAAAGAAGCGCGGCCGGATGCAGCGGCGGCGGCTTCCATGATGGCTAGCCGCCTTCCCAAGGCCAAGGTCCGCGACCTCGTCGAGTTGAACAAGGCGGTGGAAGCGGTGAAAGCGCACAGCAAGCTCGAGCTGAAGTACTTCCCCATTGCTCCGTCGAGCCTTGGATGGGGAACTATTACGGACGCCTCTTGGGCGAACCATGCAGACGGCAGTTCCCAGGGAGCCACAGCGGTGATTGCCTTCGACAAGAAGTTGCTGACCGGGGAACGTGCGCAATGCAGCTTGATTTGGTGGAAGTCCGGAAAGTTGCGTCGCAAGGTGGGTTCCACCTTGGCGGCTGAAGCTCAGGCTTTGAACAAGGGCCTGGGGGCCAAGGCTATCTATGCTGAGCTTTTGGACGCCCAGTTTGACCTCGAGATCTTCAAGAAGGACGTCAAGTCCAAGGCGGACGTGGTGCTGCAAAAGGCCGATGCGGACCAGGTGCTGCGGGACTCTCTGTCAGTCATCGACGCAAAGAGTCTGTACGACAATCTGATGCAAGAGGGGAACCAACCTCAAGACAAGTTCACAGCTCTCGACGTGGCCATCGCTCGGGAGAAGATAGATGGGCTTGGGGTGCAGCTACGCTGGGTTGAGCACCAAAGCATGGTGGTCGATGGTGGTCGACAGTCTGACCAAAGTCAGTGCCAACAAGGACGCGCTGTTCGACTTGCTCAGGAGCGGCACCTTTCGCTTTGAAGCCGAGGGAGACCTTTTAGAAGACAGGCTTTGCGCCGTCAAGAGGGGCGTGCAAAGCCTCGCTAGTTTCGCCGACAGCTCAGCATAGTTTTTAGGGTGCTGAGAATCGGCTCTCTAGCTGTTCCTGCAAGCGAGCAGCACTGACCTGCGGCGGTTGGGGCTCAAATCTTAGGGCCCTTGAGCTTTCTTTGCTACCGAGTTCTAGCAAGCCAAAAGTCCGTTCCGATAGCCATTGCGTTGTGCTGAAACGGTTTCGGTTTGTCATCACTAGCGTGTGCACTCACGAAGCTCCACAATTTCATTGCACTGAAGACTTAGGCCTTCGCAGGGTCCTTGGTTGAGTTTGAACAGAAACCCTGCTAGTTCTTGCAACCTCAAAGTGATATCGTACCCAGTTCCCGCGATTGCTGCACTGCATTTCGACCTCAGGCAGCGCATTCCGAGGATGCCGCACTCTTAGCCAGAAGATCGTCATTTTCAGGTGGAGGCGCTTTTGCTTGCGACTTTCGGATTCATAGCGTGCTGGCGGTTTTTGACAGCAATGTTGCAGTTCTGCTACACACTGGTACTCGGAGGAGTCGCGAGTAGACATGGTATTGCGTTGTGAGAGATGGACTTTGCGTGTATGCGCAAGATGCTGAGGAAAGGAAGCAGCATTGGTTCAGCCAGCAAGGGCGGCGAGGGCAACGGCTCTTCAGGCTTTCCATCTTTCCGAGCCTATTTCAAGCGGGCATTCAGTAGAGTATTCTGGCACCCGCTCCGGTGAGACCCGATTTTTGAAACTCGTGTGAAGATACGTGTTGGCAAATTGACATTATTCCCTGAGTATAGCCTTTCTACTTGACATCACCCGGAGAGCATTACTGAAGGGGAAATCACTCCAGCAGCTTACGATTGAGATTGCAGATAATTGGATTCCGGATCGACCTTTCTCCGCAACCGAGTCAGCAGCTGGTGATCTCCAATGTCCACATAGACAGCCGCTTGACACAGCCAAAATCGTCAGTCTCAGAAACGGATCCTTGCCTGACAAAACGTTAGATGCCAGGCCCACGCAAGAGCCCCGGAACCACCAACGTCTCCATGACGTCCCTCGGCGAAGAGGGTCACGGCTCGGCTTGAATGGCAGTTCGAAGCTGGCACATAACATGCACTTCCGGGAGAACACTGTTCGGCCAATTTTGTCGAGCAGAGTGCCAAGTCCAAGTGAGGCACGTCATGAAGTTCCTAGCCGGTGATGCCCTGGCTTCAGCCATCATCGGCCTGGATCTTGGTGTGTAGTGGGAAGCCATGTTCTGTGGAGCTATTCTGTTCAAAGTCACCGAAACCGAGCTACCACTCCATGACGTAACCCAAGGCCTGCCTGACTGATCTCCATCACACCAAGCTTGAGTGTGGGAAAGATATGCAAGCCAAGGCAAGGGCGGCGCTGTGATCACGCAGATTCGCACGAGCCGCAACCACAGCAAAGAGATGAGACGAGAGGTTACGAGATTCAAGTTCCCGCCTTTCTGTTGCGGTCACTGAGTACTGCCGAGCACAGTTGCTCCGAAGTTTCCATTTCGTGAATGTCCCAGATTGCAATGCGAAGCTGGCACTGACGGACAAGGGACAGGTGCCGGGCTCGGTTCAGGAGACTCCGCAGCCCTCGCCATCCCTGTGATAATGGCATCCCCTAGATTGGAAGGTTCGGTGGTGTCAAGCGTGTGATTTAAACCAATTCGAGTGCTCCGCAGCACATCTTGACACCGAGGTGTTTCCAAGTACCGACTGCCGCGTTCTCACCGCGCAGGCGGCTCTTAGTCAGGTGAAAGAAAGTGAAGGGCCTCAAGAAGTCCTCGGTTCTCTTCCAACACATGACGCGGTGCGAAGTATCGGCAGTTGGCCCTTGGCCTCTTGGGGGATGTAAGGAAACGATGGAATCCATGAGCCGTAGGGCATGGGGAAGTTCTGAATCAGGCCAACTCGGAGGAGGAGCTGAACGAGGAGACCTCTCGGGAGATCTCGGGAGCAGAGGGAGAGGGCGCGCTTCCTGGCCCTCTCTTGTCAGGTGGCGAGGCAGATCATCGAGAAGCTAAGTGAGCTTGTGAAGACCAGTGGCGCCTCGGAGGCGCAGATTCGACGCTGCATTCCTCGTGGCATCTGATGTTTTTCTTACTTTGCACCTGCTCTTGAGAATGTGAGGGCCGGGGGTGTCGGGGCATGTCGGGGCGTCGGGCCCGGGTGATCTGAAGATCTTTTCTGGTGTCAGGGTTGGTAGACACTTGTGCACACAACGCAGAAGTCCTCCTATGTCCTATGTGCCCAGGACCGTAATGTTGTTCCACTCTCGCATTTTCCTTGAAGTAGACAGCAGAGTTGGCAGGCGTGTGGCTCCGATGGCGAGCTGAAGTTGAGGACCCTGGTGCGCCTGTGTTCATGGCATTCCTCGGAAGTTGTCGATCCTTCGAGTCACCAGACATCACCAGACCCCCGACAGCTTCTTAAGGCTCCTCGCATGTAGTCCGAGCCGGAGTCCGGCACTACGAAGCCAGAAATGCAGCAATGCCGATGCAGCTGAGATAGCGTTTATCTATCTATCCATCTATCGATCTATCTATCTATCCATCTGTCCATCTGCCCATCTGTCCATCTGTGCATCCATCCATCCATCTATCTATCTGTCTATTTCTCTGTCTGATCTATCTATCTATCTATCTATCTACCTATCCATCTATCCATCTATCTATCTATCTATCTATCTGTCTATTTCTCTGTATGATCTATCTATCTATCTATCTATCTATCAATCATTCTACCATTCTATCATTCTGTCATTCTGTCATTCTATCATTCTATTATTCTATCATTCTATCCATCTATCATTCTATCATTCTATCATTCTATCCTATCTATCCTATCTATCGATCTATCTGTCTGTCTATCTATCTATCTATCTATCTATCTAGGTATCCATCTAACAATTGACCTATCGACCGAATTTTCCGCCTATGTCCCCGTCTACTTGTGTACCGATGTACCTATGTGCCTGTCTTCTTATCTACCTATTTACCTATCTACCTGCTTAGATATCTGCCTACCTACCTACCTACCTACCTACCTACCTACCTACCTACCTACCTACCTACCTACCTACCTACCTATGTCAGTCTGTCTGTCCGCCTGCCTGCCTGCCTGGCTGTCTGTCCATCTATCTGTCTGTCTGTGCATAATGCTATGCTATATTCTTATATATTTATTCTTCAGACCCAGCACTTTCATGACAACGGTCACGGCTGTCAGGTACCCAAAGCAGCCGTCGGTGGCATCATCGGTGCGCGCCGCAAGAGGGGTTGGGAAGCTTCTCTTGTTGGTTTGACATATCATCGCACTCGTGGTAAACCTCGGTAGGAGCACTGGCCCCGATTCGTGCACTGTGATTGAAGCACTCACGATTTAAGCACCTGCGATTCGAGCACGCATGATTAAGCAGCAGCAATTCAAGCACCAGCTAATGCCAGCACTCGACGTACTAGCAGTCCCCAGCGAAGGGTACAGGCCTTGAAGACTTTCAGATTTTGGGGCGTAGGTTTCGGGGGATCGCGGTGTTCAGTTTAGGGTAGGCTTCTAGAGCTTCCTGTTTTCGGATGTTCGGTGTCTCGGCTGTAGGCCGCGTAGACCCGGCTTATTGAAAACAGCTGGCAACCCTTTGAAGCTCCTGGCTTCCATTTTTGCAGCGTTGGGGCATAGGTGTGGCTGCTGAGACGGTTCAGTGAGCCCAAGTCAGCAACGATATTGCTGCTCAGGCTTCTGCGTTGTTATCAGATTTCCTGGTCTGCAGTCCAAGCAATTCCCGCACCTTAGTTTCCATCCGGTCAGACTATCAATCGGCACTCCTCCGGTGCACGAATCGTGCCGAACCGGCCTCTTACTGTTCATCGCCGAGTTTCATTTCGGCATTCGGACTTGCGGCTGCTGCGAAGGCAAGGGCGGGGCGGCCATCAAGCAGATGCGTGAGACCAGCGGTGCGAAGATCAGCATCGGCGGCCGGGCTGGGGCACTTTTGTTAAGCCTTTCTAGGCATTGCATGGATCCCATGGATTTTTTCCACGTGTGAGAGACTGCAGAAGCCGTGGGCGGCGCCGGGCCTGGGGCCGAGCAGATGGTCACCGTCTCTGGCCCTGAGGAGGCGCTCAGTGGAGGGGTCCCGAAGAGGGAAGTCTTTGGGAGTCAGGAGAGGGTAAGCGAGGGAATTTTAAGTCAGGAGTTAGGTTTTTATAATCTCACGACGAAGCACCTCCCTGCTGGCTTCAGGCACTTCAAACGGTCATCGCCGAAGTGTCCTGGCCTGCTAGCACTTTGCGCTGCGGGTTGCTCTAGGATGGCGGGGTAGCTCTTAAGGCCAGGATCTCTTGTTGTAAGCGAGCCACAGCCCCAAGGCCCGCGGCCGCCCAAGGCACCCCGTTCTTCCAAGGTGAACCGGCAGATCCAGCTGCTCAGCTCGGAAGCATGGCCTGGCGCCCCAGGACCTGTGTCTCACCTGTCCTGGGCGTAGGATGGTCTAGGATTTCACAACTGCCACTGCTTCGACCAAAACTCTCTGATCGGCTCGGCTCCTGCCACCCCGTCGTCTGTAGGCTGACCCCAAGCCCAAGACGGCTGCACAAGGTATAGCACGTGGGCTGCTTCAACAGGGTGCATCACACAGGCCCAGTTCGACACTCTTCGGATCTTTTTCCGCTACGTCACTTTGTCCTTATGGCCCGTTCACTCAGATGTCAGGCCATGGCCGGTCTGGCATCATCGCTTCAGCTGCAGCCTTCACTCCTCGGCTTGGGAGGCGAGTGCTAGGACTGCCATGCCATGGCGCGGAGATCTCGGGAGGTGTCTTGCTACAAAATGCCGAGAATTACAGAAGCAAGGGCTGCCTGAGCAGTAGTGTTCAGGCTAGGCTTCCGGTCAATGCCTCGCTGCACTCTTGCAGCGCACGTCGCAGGCCAGGCCTTAGCGAACCCGGGGATCGCCACGATGATGCAGGCCGGGCCGATTCAGCAACCGTCCATGCCTGACTTCAAGTCGTGGCGCCACGGTTCTGGATTTCCGACTGTCCCCATCGACGGGTTCGTTTCGAGAAGGGCTCAAGGGAAGAAGCTTCCGCGTTAGCTGAGCTGGTAACTGCTGCACCCCGGGCAGCAGGCCGATTCTTCCGAAAGCGATGGCTCCCAGTAGTGGAGGATGGTTGGGACACTCTCAGAAAATGCAGCGGCAGATGGAGCATGCCCTTAGACTGGAGACGAGGTTCTGCTTGTCGGGAAGGCAGGGCCATCGAACTCGGCACCCGCCGTGTTTGGGGTTGGAGCTAACAACTCTGGTTGAGAGGATTGTGGGATACAGGAAGAAGAGAATTGCCGAGCGAGCGGCTGTCCGCCGTTGGCTGTGGCCTTGCTGCAGCATGAGTTGGGAGGAGTTTTGTGACCACGGGCTTCCACCGGAGGCCGATTTTCTGGCCTGCGGGGCTAGACTGGAAGAGAAAGAATCCAGCTTGGAGGGTCATGCTGTTGTGGGTTTGCAGGATGACCTTGTGGACAAGGAAGTTAGAGGCCGGCCCGAGGAGCGTGGCAAGGACTGTGGGCAAAGGTCCGACTGCCACTTTGGGCACGGCAAAATCTCTGAGCGAGAGCTGCTCCTGCTCATGGCCGGTGATGGTGGCGATGATGCTTGGAGTGAGCCCTCTTGGGATGCGCCTTGTGAGCCAGTGCAAGCTCATTTTGAGCCGATGCATAGGAACTTGCCAGACAGCCTTGAGGATCCCCCTTTCTCCCCTTGGGGTTTAGGCCCTCTCCCCTCTCGCTGTGGTGAGTCTGAGGATTTTGTGTGCCAGGGTCACCGAAGCAGTGGCCGGCACTCCACCGTACATCAGGCCGAGCCCTTCTCCCCCTGGGTGCTAGGGTTTAGGCCTTTGCCTCCCGTGTGTGCTGAGCTCCCGTGCTCTCAGCTACCGCCGTCAGTTGCCGAGGTTCCCTGGCCTTTTAAGGTTTTAGGTCCCTCCCCGGATCAGCTGCCGAGTGCCGAGATGATTCCGCAGGCGGCCCAGATCCCTTGGCCCTGTAGGGTTTTAGACCTGGCCTCAGCTTTCCCCAGTGCTTTGCTGCAGCTGCCCTCTTTGCGAGTTGGGGGCGGTCCCGGGCTTGAGGGCCTATTGGAAGGCATAGTGTCGCAGCTCATGCCTATGATTACCGAGATGATTCAAAAGGCCATTGCCGAGGCCTTGGGCAAAGGCCTCGTTGCCGAGGATGGAAATCCGGCCGCCAGGGCCGAAATTTCGACAGCAGAGCCGAGACTCAAGCGGCACAAGGGAGGTGGCCGCGACCCCAAGCGCAAAAGCCCAGAGACGACTGAGCCTCCCACTGGCCGAGGTGCGCCCAGGGCCGGGAATGACACAGGTCCGAGTGGCAACCGCCGTGTCGTGCGAGGCAAAGGTGCTGGAGGACAGCCGGCTGCACCTTCAGCCCCAGTGGCCCCCGCAGCGCCAGCCGATGGAGGCTGGCAGACAGTGCAGCGCAAACGCGAGGAAGCTGAGCCCTTTGAGCTTCGAGGGCAAGACTGGGATGTGCCCATTGTTCCTCACGATGCCATCGGACGCAAGCTGGATGAACTTCCTGACGGCAAGCCTTTGGAGGCAGTGATCCTGGCCTCCAAGTCCAATTTGGACACGGTGCGAACCATTCTGAGAGGCACCTCGAAGCCGCATCGCATTATGTGTGTCGAGATCAAGAAGGACGGCAAGGAGCGTATTCCAGGCAGGGTCGGAAATCAGCTTCGATTCAAGCAGGCTGAGATCACTACCCATTTTTCGCAAGGCACTGCAGCCCCTAGGTATGCGGGGAAAAAGGCTGCAGCTGTGACCATTGCTCCCACAGCGACCACCACGGTCTACATTCGCATCCCGGCTGCTTACTGCAGGGCTGACAGATGGAAGGAGATCAGGAGCAGCCCGGCCAAGACGGTTGCAGCATGGGCAGCCGAGCAGAGGGTTGTCCTGGCAGATTCTTGGGGCTGGGTCGAAGAAACTCTGCCGAAGCAGGGCAAGCAATTGTTTGGGAAGGCCCGGCTGGCCGAGAAAGAAATGTCCAGCCTGCTTTGTTGTAGCGGCCGCGGGGGCATCTTCGTTGACTGCATTCGTGATGCCATTCCAGCTCAGGTTCAATGGCTAGCCCGCATCGACAATGAGCCCGCCGCTGCTTACTTGGAGCGCGGGCTCCGCATGTCAGCTCAGCTTGGGCTTGCCTCGCAAGGCGGCCGAATTGGGGCTAGGTCGGCTCGGGACCCGCAGGCTGCTATCCCGAGAATTTGGGTGTTGCCTCACGTGCCAGCCGACTGGGGACCTCCTGAAGTCACCCAGGTTCTGACGCAATCTTTCGATGACGTCACGCTAATCCACCATCGGCGGACTGGTCGCGAGCAGCTCTATCGCTTTCGAGGAAAGCATAAATTTGGCGATCGGGATATTGTCCCTTTGCAGGTGCAGCTCGACGAGGACGGCGCAACCAGTGAGGTGACCATGTGGGCCACGATTGCTCCGGTCAAGACCCCGAGCAATAAGCAGACATGGCTGCGCAACCAGGCGGTTCCCCTGATTGAGCCCAAGCCGCCGGCTATGAAGGCCACTCCGGTCAAAGCCCCTCAAGCCCAGGCTAGCCAAGAGGATGGTGAGGCCCAGCAGCCGGCCAGCGTTCGGGCGGTGAGCCAGCGACAGCTTCCAGCCGGAGTTCAAATCGACGAGGCTCCGAAAGACGGCAGTTGTCTCTATCACTCGGTGGCCAAGGGATTGCAGTGGTTGACTGGCAAATCCTATTGCCACCGCGACTTGAGGGCCAAGGCAAACCAACACATCGAGAAGCACCTCGAGCAGTACCTGCCGGAGTTCGACGGACAGGGGCCAAGTCATGAAAAGCTTCGTGAGACCCACCCTGGAGACGACTCTGCTGCACTCAAAGCCTACCTCAAATTGGCTGCCTGTGAAAGTGCTTATGCCAGCAATCTCGAGATAAAAGCCCTCTCCAGGATTTATAATGTGTGCATTGTCGTGGTGCCACGGGATCCTAGGTTCGGCACTCTTACCTTTAAGGAAAGCCGGCGTGCCAAGACCATTGCTTTGTGGCTGACCCCGAAGCATGTCGATCTGCTTCTGCCAGTTGACAAGAATGCCGCTTACCCGGCTGAGCTTTTCACGCCGAGCCCAGGTCAAATTGTTGACCTTCGTGCGGGAGGCCGCCCTTCTGGTGAGGCCGCCTCGATTTGTAGCAAATGGTCTGCGGCTGCCAGTCAGTGGACTCGTGCTTCCGATGCTGTCTCCTCTGCCAAGTCGCTTCCCAAGGCCAAGGCTAGAGCCCGCAGCCATCCAGCTGAATCGTGCAAACTGTCGGCTCCCTCGATTCGTTCGGGCACGGTTTGGTCGAGCCCCACCTCTAAAAGGCGCCGGCGTGAGACAGAGCAGGTGCAAGAGCCAGGGTCGTCGAGTCTTTCTGCCCAGACCGTTTGGACGGTTTTGCCCTCCGGTCGTGCGCGGCGTAATCGCTCGGCAGACAGTCAAATCAGCAAGGCCAACTCGGTGACAGGGCAGCAGTCGCTGAGTCTCGTCGCAAAGACGGTCTGGACCGAAGTGCCACCCGACCGCGGCCACACAGATCCGCTCAGCACTGGGGCGGCAGATAGAGCCAGCGAGACTGAATCCTACTGCCCAGAGCCTCCGGAGCCCTTGGAGGGAACCGTGCGACCTGCCAGACGACGGCAGGCTCGCTATCACACGTCGCAAGGGGAAGCTATTGCACTCAGAGGGGTTTTTCAGTGTGAGTTCTGCCCTTTCCGTATGACGGGAACAGACCGCCAGAAGCTCTATAGTGCTCGCTACGCGCATCTCCTTCATCAGCATGAGGGTCAAGGGCTGTTCAAACCGCCACCGACACCCCAGCTCACCAGCCGAGGCAAGAAAGCTGATTTTTGCTGGAGGTGCCCGGTGTGCAAGAAGGGACTTCTTCACCGTGATGTCGAGGACCTTCCTCGACACCAGCTGTCTCGGATCAAGTCGGCACATCGGCTCCAAGATCACCCGGAGATCAGTGCCCAAGCCTGGAAATGTATGATGCTTCGTCAGGGAGTTACCCCTCTGCGGCAGGCCAAGCTTCGAGCTACGAGGCTAAACAGCAGGACTTCGATGATCAAGATCCAGGACCTGCCAGAGCATGTCGTCCCTTTTGTGTTGCCGATCCCCGCGCGGAAACCCAAGGCATCAAACGACGGTCTTCAGCAGCCGAGGACCCAGGCCAAGGTTGGGTTTAAGAACTGCTGGAAGTGCAAGCGCTGTGGAGCCATTGCCCGAACCAAAACTGCTCTCAAGCAGCACCTCGGCAAGAAGTGTCCTGCTGTTTATCCGGGTGTTGTTCAAGCTAGATTGAGGCAGCTCCAAAGCCTTAAGCGACAAGTTGCCGGGACCCAGACCACGGGCTTCACCAAAGAGCAGCTTCATGAGATCTTTCAGTCCGCTCGTCGGGCCATTGAGGAGATGCCTTCTCAGCCTTCGTCTCGCTTTTGAGTTGCAATGTGGCCCGTCGTGGGGTCATCACCATTGAGGCTGTGGCCTCCATGCTTCGGGTGCAGGATGCTGCGGTGGCAGCCTTTCAGGAGGTGGACATCAATAGGGCCACGGCCCCTGGCTTTGCAATGGCCTGGCGCCACCAAGGTTTCCAAACTGTTTTGGGACCTGCCAGCACACAAGATCGTCACAGGGTCGCCTTGGTCTCTGGTCTTCCGATGCAGCCTGTTCAGCTGGAGATGGAGGCTGAGCATGATCGGGTCGCGGCCGGGCTTGTCTCCATGCCTTTGTGGGATAGGACTGTTTCGGTTCTCATTGTCTCTTTCTATGGCTTCCCTTCGGATTTGCCTCGCACCAACAATGCCTTTAGTGCTTTGATGAGGGCAATTTCGGTGTTTGGCGGCCTCTTTGTCATTCTGGGGGACTTCAATTGTACCCAGAGTGAGGGAGTTGTTGCCACCACTCTGTGCTCGCATGCTGTTCGGGCTGCGGATGAGGCTTACTCCTTTGAGCCGCCGCACACAAACCCCACCAACACACGTCGCATCGACTACGGGCTGACCCACCTGGATTTGGTGGCGCGGTCTGGGCACACTTTCCGGCAGCCGGAGCTCTCCGATCATGGGATAGTACGCATTGACTTCGGAGGTGATAGCTTTCAACCCTCCTGGCAGCGACCTCGCTTCAAAAGCTTTGTTGACCTCAGACCTGAGGCAGCGCTCTCCGTGGTTTTCCCGCACTCTGAGCTGGACTCTTTGCTCACGAATACCAGGTTGGATGAAGCTTGGACTTTGCTTTCTGATTGGGCCGAGACATTTCTTGGCATCGGCCATGACCTCCGGCGCCGAAGCCAGCCGTGGCGCCCTGAACCGCGGGCGCTCCCCTGTGGGGCACCGACTCGCGATGGCCATGAGCCCCGACCTCTCCGTGCCCTGCGGCATCTTGCGCGCCGCCTGCAGCAGCTTGTGCAAGAGCCTTGGAATCATGCTCTACGTCTGCGCTTGACTCGATCGCTGGGCCACACTCGGACTCAAGTACCGGACCTCCCGTTCATTGACCCTGCTTTCCCTGATCAGGCCCTGCCTTTGGTCCAGGATCTGGTTGAGTCGCATCGGGTCGCCCACCGCGAGGACTGCTTGAGCAAGTGGCGACAAAAGATTCAGGAATCCTCGACCCGCGCCATCACTTGGATCAAGCGCCGGGCCGCCCTTGACTTGGCATTGCAACAGCCCCCTACTCTGCAGGAGGCCATGACAGGCACTGTTCACCCTGCTCACCGCGTGCAAGAGCAAGGTGAGCTCTGGATCAGACGGTGGCAAACCCCCTCCACTGAGGCTGATCTGCCTGCATATCGTCGTTTGCTGCACAATCTGCCTCGGCACGATCAGGTTGAGTTGGACTTGATTCCCACGCTGCATGAGCTCAAGGCTGCAATGGGCAAAATGAGATCTAAAGCACCGGGAGCCGATGATTGGCAGGCCAGCATGTTTTTGGCTCTTCCCCAGGATTGGTGGGAGGGGTTCCAGAGGCTTTGGGCAACTGTGGTTACGACAGGGCAGGTGCCGAGGGTTTGGCGGCGATCCTTGATTGTTTTGCTGTCCAAGCGCAACAATGCTACGCGACCAGTGGCCTTGTTGCCATTGGCATGGAGGGCCGGATCCCGGGTTGTAGCAAAGAGGCTGAAAAGCTGGGTTGTTCAGTGGAATGGCCATCGCGCCTGTGGGGCGGCTCCCGGAAAGAGTGTGGCTGATGTTCATGCTCGTATCCTGCAAGCCTGGAACTTGGGCACTCGGTCCTTCATCCAACAAGACCTTAGTGCGTTCTTCGACTCTTTGAGTGTACCCGTGATCACCGAAACTTTGCAACACCTCGGTGCTCCGGAGGCTTTGACCCAGCTCGTTTCCGGCTTTTATGCTCAGCAACTTCGTCTGTTTGTGGTTGATGGCCACACAACCTCATGCTGGAGGCCAGCCCACATTGGACTACTCCAGGGCTGCCCTCTGAGCCCGGTCCTGAGCCTTTGTGTTGGGCATCTCTGGACTCAGCACGTGTCTTCCCGGCAAGTTGAAACAGGCATCTTCATTGATGATCGTGTGTTGTGGCTGCCTGCTGGCTGTCCACCCTCTGCACATACTGCCCAGCTGGCCCTTCAGCGAAGCGATGAGTTCGACAGGGCGGCAGGCCTGACCTGTTCTAGACCCAAGTGTCACCTAGTGACTGAGGACCCAGCAAGCCCTTGGCTCTCTGTGGCCCGTGCGCGTGGTTACACAGTTGTGCCGAGCCTGCAGTTTCTTGGCATCGAGCTGTGTTTGACGACCGGCACCGCTAGCCCTTTGAAGCTTTGCTTGAAAAAGCTCCGAGCCAGGCTCCGGCATGCCACCAACCCTGCCTTCAGCCTTGGAGCAAAGTTTCAGGTGATTCGATCCTTGATTTTTCCTGCCTTGTTTTGGGCTGCTGGTGTTGCCTTACCAGCACAGGAGGAACTACATGCAATTAAGCTTGGCGTGAGTCATGCCCTCCAGGCTGTGATGACTTTCGAGGCGCCTCGGGTGTTGATCGGTCAGGTCCTTGGCTGGACTTCTGACCCTTTCTGGATGGCTGACTGGGCTTCCCTATCTGCTTTAACTCGATCTTTGACTCGCCCTCCTGATGGGTCGGAGGAGGACATGCTCAGCTCGCTGCGCGTTACTCGCCTTGCGGGAAATCCTGCAGCCGTTCAGACTGTTCGGCGCCTGGGCTGGCAGCTTGACGCTGCCAATCGCAAGATTCGACGACGAGACGATCGGGGCACGGTGCGGGTTTTTCACTTCGGAGAAGACTCGATGGCTGTTCTCCGTCGCTGGCTCACCGAGTCACATGTGCAGGAGGCGGCCAGGTCTTGTGGCCGCATTGCCAGACGCATGCACAGGGATGACCCTACCCTTGCGGTTGGTTTAGACCTCCCCCCTCCTGGTGTTGGCCTCAGGTTTGCTTTCTTGGGTCACGGCTCTGAGTACAGAAATGCTGCCTCTCAGAATGCGAAGCGGGCTTGCCTTGTTACCGGTGGCACTGCATGGCATTTTGGGCGCAAACATGGTGGTACGCAGCCCACCTGCCTCTGCGGCCGAGCATGGCCATCCCGCTCACATCTGCTGTGGGTCTGCCCTGAACTGTGCGAGATTCGGGCCACTTTGGCCCCACCCGTTGATCGGGTTGAGGAGCGACTCCTGGGACATCCGATCTCAGAGCACCCGGGCCCGCCTGCGAATGAGGTCCCTTGCCGAGGTCCTCTTGTTCGTCTTTTCGAGACTGCGGCCGAAGCCAACCTCGATGAGCTGACGCTGGCTACGGACGGGTCTAGTTTGGAAGGGATTGGCAGCTTTGCCATCACTTGCAGTCGGCCCTGGGCCAGGATAGCAGGTGCTGACACTCACGAAGATCAAGCACCTTTCAGGATGGAACTTCGAGCTCTTGACGAGCTGCTGGCAGCATTACTCGAGACACCGAGACCTCCTCGTCGGGTGTGGATCTTGGTTGACTGCGAGGCAGCGATTCGAGCACTGTGCTGCCCAGCTCAGTGCTCGATTCGGCTGCTTGCTGAGAGGGCTTTTGCATCTGGTCACACTTTGAGACAGCGAGGTGTTGAATGGTCGCTGGTCTGGATCCCGAGCCATGGCAAAAGATCCACTTGGTCGCCTCCTCCGCAGTTGCCAGCAACAATGGAGGAGTGCAGAGAGCTGAACCACGCAGCAGACGAGGAGGCACACAGGTTGTGCAAAAGTCGTCACCACAACTCGTTGAGGGCTTGCTGGCAGAAGGAGGTTGTTCGCGCCAGCACGGTGGAGAAGGCTCGTGTCAGAGCTTTAACGAGAGCCTCTGAAACTCTGGAGGCTCACATGTGTACAGGCCGGGCCCGTGTCCCCGGTGTCATTGACGACGATGTATAGAGTTTTGGCTCCGGCCCACACGCGCTGACCGGCGCGGGACTGCCTACTCGTAGATGGCCCGCGGACGATTGCAACCCCCAATCAAAAAAATCGTTTCGAGAAGTGTGCAGTCGTGCAGAAGTTTAGCGCGAGCTGTTTTGTGGCAGGTTGCACAAAGCATGCCTCCGTACGTGATGGAGGACAAGTGTGGACATTTCAACTTAAGATTTCCTGCCTTGGCTGAACCTGTCGTGCCTCGCCAAGCTAATGTTGCCCCGGGTCACCGTTGCGTTTCTGCCCATTGCTCCATCATCGCTTTGTGCAGGACTCCCGCGGCTTCGCGTTGAGCTGTGTGGTGCCGAACCGCCTAGCCACTCCGGTCAGAATGGAAAATACTTCTGTCAAGCTGGTGATGCTCTTCCTTGCTTTCATAATTCAGGTTCCCAAAGGGCCTTGTTGAGAATGGAAGTTTCCAACTCCGCGAGTATGTGTATTTTTGGTCTTTCTTGCCTGCAGGTAGCAGCACTGCAACTTCAACAACACTTCGCAGGTAAGGTAGTGGACAGTGCTCCTGGGGTACGTGGTGACTTTGTGTTTAAGAAAAGGGACTGGCTCGAGTGCTCGGGGGAGCAAGCTTCGATCCCAGGTTGGAGGCCTGATTGGGCGCGGGGGCTCCGGGACCAAAGAGGCCTTGCGGGGAGTGCCTGTTTGGGGTCTCAGTGCTGCGGGTTTGGCATGAAAGCATCTCGTGTAGTGTGGGTCGGCAGGCGTCACCTTTGAAGGCTCAACCCAAATTCCCGCCACAGATCAACATCGGTGTTGCTTAGCACGATTGATGGAAGTGAATTGAAACTTATGGCGGGTTCATGCGCAAGCGTTCAGCAGAATAGAAGACAGTTAGATGCAGTTTCATGTCATGCTCCGTTTGCGCATCAAGAACAATGCCTCTTCGCTTCGGTAGCGCTGCCACAGGTTCAGATGCTGACCGGTACCAAGATTGGAATCCGAGAAATTCCGGACGACCCGGACAATCGCTCGCTGAATATAGCCACCCGGCTGACGCTTTGAGATATTCATCTGCCCTTCTCAGATGTT